TCAAATAGTACGGGCATATTATTTGAATGATATGTTTTAAATATAAATTGATGAGATTTACTTTAAGTTTAAAACGCGTTTTTATAAATTAACTAAAAATCGCGGGTTACTCACGTGTAAATATTGAGAAAAGCTCTACTAGTTTCGAACCACAGAGGGGTTCTTCCTCATGAGCAGCGTGCGCGGACGCGGCGACGTCGCGCAGCCTACTGAGTAACCTGAGTAACCCGTGATTTTTAGTTAATTTAGTATGTCTCACGCGTTTTTATAATTCAGTTTTTTTCGAAAATTATTATTTATAGGATAATTCGTCAAACTAAAGCGCTTTAACCACATGGTTTAATCGGTGCAACTAATGTCATCGCTGGGGCCCGAGTCTAATATTTTCAAAGTGTTTTCATTCCTACACGATTCCGTTGTCATTTTGCTAAAAGTTCGTAATCTGTTAATTCAAAATGGCTGATCATTGGCGTTCGGCGATGTCGTAATAGAATTATAGTGCGAGATGTCTTGTAACGAATTATATACAATAACTGCCCATTAATATTCTAAACGTAAATCATTGAATAAAGAAACTGTTCTTTTTTTATTAACTTACCGCAATATGTCAAATATTAATTTGTCATTATGTACGAGATTACCGTTCTAAAGAATTATTTTAATGAAGTGGCATTGGAAGTCATAATGACGCTATCGTGTTAGTAGATTACCAAACTTGTCAAAATCAACAATTTTGAAACCTATGATCTACTATACTGACACTATTGTAATAGCAGACTCGAGGCCCTGGTGACCTTTTAAGGGTTAGCTATTCGAGGATTCGGGATGGAGGCAGAGTAGAATCAATCCGCCGGTATACGAAGTTGTGTCAATTAATAATCAAAAACCCAACAAGCCACAAATGTTATCCCTAATATTCTAATAAGCAAAACAAACTGACCATTATGCGAGAAACAGATTACGACTGACTAAATAAACAAATTGTATATAAATTATAAACATACCGCTGTATTTAAAAGCGGGAGTCGGTGGCTTGTAATATCTTGAGAGGGAGAGACGATTACGGCTATTAAATATGCATTAACGAATTTTTCTCCTTAAAAGCTGAAAAAAATGGCGTAAAGAGAAAATTGCCAATTAGACCCCTCCCCGAGCTCCCGCCCACCTTCGCGCAAGAATTAAATTTGTTCCTTAAAGATATACATAAATTGAGTGTTAGGATGCTTTAATATTTTCCTTTTGCGAATAACGTTGTAAATTAGCTAATTTAAATGTATACGGCTTGTGTGGTTATTCTGTTTTGGAATTGAGTAAGCGAGTGAGGAGTTTTGTTTCTTTCTTTTTCATTTTTTTTGCATAGAGGGTTTACTGTCGTGGGTCAGTTGCTGCGGCTATCTTGTGTAGCGCGTGACATGGCGTAGTTCTGACTTTTTCGTAGTAGTGGCATGTCGTAGTAGTTATACAGCGTAGGATTACTTGGCACACTGATCAGTGACTTAGCAAAGGGTAAAAACAAGTAACTTTATCGATTAGGTATATTTTTAGTAAGTAGAAGTCTTTTAAAAAACTAATTAAAATAAAGATTTACTAAAAACAATCGAATAAAACCTTCACCAATAATCCTTCAAACTGGCCAACAACGTTATGACACAAAAGGGCGTGTCTCTGCGTTATTTGATTGTCTATGCCTTTGATATTCAACCTCATGAAATGCCTGACACGTTGCCATGAATAAATGATCAAAATATAGTCGGCCCACTAACTGAATACACACTTACCTCGCTTACTGTTGCACTAATGAAAATTAATAATGTACGATGATAAATTGACACTAATTATGTGATACAGGGTGGCGACGGGCCTTATGGACATGTATTGAGTTTCATGTACATTTTCTAGTAGACGCTGTGCTAGTGCTAGTCTGCTTTATGGCTCATGTTGGACATTTTGAATTAAGAACCTTAATATAATTTAATTTGAAATTGGAATAGTGCTTTCATTTTGAAAGTTTTCGTGGTGATGACTAGTGATTTTAGTTTCAATTTTAGTTATAAAACCACTACTATTGAATGTTTCATGTTCACTACTTTCATGAACGTGTTTATTTATATGATATGGTGGCAAAAGAGCTTGTGCATTACCAAGTTGCAAATGTGTTGTTCGACATATGGGGATAAAGGGTTTCGGAAATTTCGACTGATAGATTGGGCTGTAGGAAGCAAAGGATTGGGCCTTCGGTAATCGTACTCACATGACAAAACACAACGCTGTGATTGTCTCAAGTCGGTTTTTTGTGAAGCCGTGGCGTGACTCCGATCGAGCTGGCCCATTCGTGCCGAAGCGTGGCTCTCTCATATTTGTAAATTTTAATATAGAAAACATTTTGATTTGAAATAAGAAAAATATATTAGTTACATTATTGGTCGACTAAGAGGATATAGAAAACAGCTAAGAAGGCGACAACATTTTCGAATATGCACCTACTTAAAATATCTTCCATCAATATACCTAAATTTCGGGACACCATCCTTCATTCCTACACACACATAGATACGTCGACTAGTCGCCTACTTACGCGGGGAGGGAGGGGGGGTCGTAGTTTCGCTATAATCAGTTAATTGCATGAATAATTGAGCAGCGTCATTAGCCGTGCCGGCCGCGGCGTCACACATACCTTAATATAGGTTAAAGGACGCATTCCAGAATTATAGATACGTTGATGCGTTTTGATGATTGGGATTTGTGAGTATACTACGAATTGTTTATGGAGATATATGTGTGGCATGAGAATGAGTTTTAAATATGTGATATTAATAAATCGTATCAATTATTCGTGAATACGAAAAAAATCCTTTTTGAATTTAATAAAAAAATAAACAAAAAGGACAATTGACATAGCTCATTGACAGCAGCGTACTTATACATTTAAAGAAAAACATGTGTGTGAAACTCTTTACACGAAATCTACTAAACGGTTCTAAATAAAACGGTGTACCCTGCAACTTCGGGCAAAGCCGTTGGTAGCAACTAGTTGTTAGACTAGATATTGGCGAGGGATGATCGGAGGGGGCCTCCGGTAACCTCACTCACAGGGCGAAATACAACGCTGTTTTAAGCTGTGTTCTGCGAGGCTGTGGCATCAGCAGGTGTTTAAAAAAGGCAATGAGAAAAATGAACCTTAATTAAACTAACACGAATGTACAATTTTGTAATAAATAATAAACAAAGTTGTCGCGCAGTGTCAGCGGGCCTATCTACAAATAACTACTTAATATCGTTTATGAATATTACATGCCACTCAATTTCAGCAGGCGTGTCTAATCAAAACATTAACGCTATTAACTGTAATATTAATTCTCTTTGTTACAACCAGCCCGCTTCTACTCTAGTTGAATATTCATATTAGCGGGGACTCAAGGAGGACATTTTCCAAAACCCTCCCTCTCCCCCGGACCTCTAAAATCAATTAATAGAGGCGCGCTTCGTTACACAATCCTAAGTTGACCCCTGATGTACATAATGAAATTTAGCAACGAGAATCATTGATATCGTCAAATTTGTGGGGAAAAGATTTCGTAAGATTAAGTGTAGGGGTGAAATATAAGTCGAAGTTTTGGTCTCTTAGAATGAATAGACGTTTCGTAAGCAATTGTACCTATGTATTTCACACACATGCTTCATAACTTAAAGAATATAAGGTTTTACTCTGCCTGTCTCTTAAGTTGTTATGGCAACACCAACACCTATGTACTTACCTGCTAGTGCTAACATTTTTATCACACGTGGATTGATTTTATCTGCCATAATATCGTAATTTTCTTAAACACCAGCATTTATCAAATATGAATATCATCTCAAACAAAGCCGTCACTTTCAATCTAGTTAAAAAAAAACAAAAGAGTTTAATGGGTACAAATTCTGTTGTTTTTTTTTTTTTTTGAAGGATGAAAATAATCAAATCGTTGCGGAGTGTCAGACTCTTATTGACTAAAAATCACCCTAAAATAACCTAACCTAACATAAAAAACAATAAAAGATACAACAAACAAAAAAGAATCGGGTTTTCAACATCCAACAATCAACAGCAATTAAAAGAGGTGTCAATACCTATGTGATGGTCTGCCCCGTTGGCCAAACAAGCTGGCAACACTAAAACTGTTAGTGTCGCTGGTGCACATCAATTATTACCTCCTGTAATGAACGCAAATCCTTTGATTCCATTGAACGAGTGCCGGAGGGAATTTGTGCGATGGCGTGCAAGTTATAAGCGGCGAGTAGGTATGAGAATTCGGTTGGTAGGAAACCGCTTTGAAAAATATTTTCCAAAGTTACCGACATTGATGTTTTGTTTAACATCTTTACATTACTAGATAAAAAAATACAAATGTTTTGATTAGTAGGAAATGATGTCTTGACCGACCAAGACGATCTCTACGGAGTAAAGGCCTCTTCTCACACGAAGAAGGTTTGGGTATTAATTACCACTTACCACGCTTGTTCAAGGCGGATTGATGATTTCAAACTTAAAAGTTCGTGTTTCTCTTTGATGTTTACCTTCTCCTCATGAAAAACCCATCTATGTATATGACGACTGTCTACGAGTTATTTATTTATTTTGTTCAAATCAACTAACGATTGTTTACACGAACCCTTTGTATTGAGTTTACTTAAGTAATGTCAGCCGAGAAAATATTTGTGTAGCAATAAAAATATGCATTTGTTAAATGTGTAATATTTTTCGTCGTCTCCGCTACCTCTTATGCGTCAAGCCGCGCCCCGTCGCGGTACATCAAGTATGCACTGAGGGAATGTGGGAGCGACGCGACACCTCGGCCCAGCGTTCATTTCATTGTCTCTGTCTGCCCCTCCTCCCCCCCCCTGCGCTGAATTTTGCAATAGTTTCTGTAAACAACATCAGACGATATCTTATAGTGGTCTATTTAATTGATGCTATCTGAAAAACAACTTTTATTGTCATTAAACGGAAATGTGGGAGAGCCATGCTTCGGCACGAATGGGTCGGCTCGACCGGAGTGATACGACGGCCTCACAGAAAACCGGCGTGAAATAACCACTGCGTTGTGTTTCGCCGTGTGAGTGAGGTTACCGGAGGCCCAATCCTTCCTCTTCCCCAATCCCTCCTCAATCCCTAAATCTCCAAATCCCTAATCCCTAAAAGGTCGGCAACGCACTCGTAACTCCTCCGTTGCGAGTGTCCATGGGCGGCGCTGATTGCTTACCATCAGGTAATCCGACTGCTCGTTTGCCGACCTATTACATAAAAAAAAAACAAGCAGGTCGCCCATGGACACCCGCAACAGAGGAGTTACGAGTACGTTGCCGACCTTTTATGGATTAGGGTTTTGGACCTAGTGTGGGAGAGCCATGCTATGGCACAAATGGGTCGGATCGACAGAGAGGATACCACGGCCTCACAGAAAACCGGAACCTCCAAAACCCTAATTCCTAAAAACCTAACGCACTCGTAACCCCTCTGTTGCTTGCTTACCATCAGGTAATCCGTCTGCTCGTTTGCCGACATTAAGACATAAAAAAACCTAGGAAACTACCCAATTATTATAAGTAGATTTATTCTGTTTTCCGGTATAAATTCGTTGTACAGTCTTTATTAATAACCCTAATACATCCCAAATAATATAGTGTATAAAAGTATTTACATTTTGTTGTACTTTTGAGTTGAAGAGTAGATACGTGTATCACATTGACACGCGTCGTAGCACCCATCAAGTATTCTTTGTAAACTAGCTGATACACAGACTGCGCGATGAGACACCAAGGCATTACACACACTACTAGCCATTTCATTTTCTCTTTCTACCAATAACGTTTAATAAGAGGACCTAGTGTACGGCTATTCTGCAAAATTTATAGATTTAAGAATTTCAAATCAAATCAATTCAATCTTTATTTGTGGTGTAAGTAAAATGGTGTAGATAGCTTACCTAAACAAAATTCGATTTTCAAAAATGACACACTAATACACACTTGAACAATTCGTATGATTAGACGTCGAAGTGAGATGGCATGATTCAATAATCGCGAGTGAAAAAGAGACAAATATGAAAAAGTGTGGTTAGTTAGCCACATTTTAATGTATCACTTGCTGAGCGCTTGTAACCTATCTACACCTTTTTACTTATAATATCATTGCATGCATGCATGTTGAATTTCTTATGTCAAATTGTTCTGTCATATTTTATCGTAATGTAAATAATGTTAGATTAGGTATACTATTATTACTCTGTAAAATTAATCAATTATAACATGCATGTCAATGGCGCTTAGAATATATCAAAAAGTTGGCACTTACATATTTTATTATTGAAAAATTCTCCGATACTATTTTCAATAAAGACTTCAATGAAAGTTCTTTTTTATATAGATACTTATCTTTAAACTTGCTGAACCTCTTTGTCCACCCGAACAACCATAGATAGCTGCGAGAATGTTACATTAATGTACTCAGAAAAAGATATACAAATAAGAAAATTCTCTAAGCATCGACCCAAAACCGGCCAATCACTTTATTCTGTCACTTGTAACTAAAGGCGTCGAGTCACCCCGCTCGCCTCTTGCCCAAGTCTCGCTCGACTGGCCACAAATTTCATTCCCAAGATCAAAGCCCAGGCTCTCACATCGATATGCGCACACTTTCAACACAAAACTTATTTAAATAAAACATTTTATTTATCTAGACATTCGTATGGAAATACGCAACGAATATATTTTATTTAAATACTAAATTCAATACGCTTCTGATTAAATTGCTCACGTGAATCGAGTTTTTTTTCGCAAAATAAATATTATTGAGCCGATGTAATTTTTGTGTTCAATTTATTTGTGTATTCTACATATAATGAATGAAAAATATATCTGCGTTGTTAGTCTGTACTCTGTTTACAGTGACTTAATATATTATGAACCTAACTATAGTGAAGGCGTAGGTAATGTAAGGGTAGACAGTATAAATCATAACTTTACATAAGAAAGCTTATAGTTGATTAGTGCCTCGCTCGAAATACATTCAGCTTAGCTTATCTGGCATAATTTACTAGAGAAAGTGCTAAAAATATTATTGAAGAAACAGTTGAATTACTTGTAATCTTATATTGTTAAATAAACATTTATGTAGGTAACTAGGTATACATATATATGTACACTTTTCTTGATGACGGGGGGACCATTTACAAGACATCTACATATATTTTTAGTACACAAACTGGGTACTTCGGGAATCTGATTTATTTTTAGTAAGTAAGTAGTAAACTATACAATTTAGCTGATTGTACCTTTTTTATTCGTAGTACGGGCGCGTTCCGCACGTCACCAGGCGGCGCCGGCGAGCCGCCACCAGCGCCCCCGCCGCCGCTGTTCCTACCGCCACATCTATCGCATCTCTCTCAGCACCTCAATCACTTGTCGCAGCCCTTCTTCCCGCTTAAAGGTAAGTTACTGACTAAAAGTAATAGGCAGATATAAATAGTACTTGAAATCTTCCCCAGCAATCATTTATTAAAGGTTTATAGCGTTGTAGAACAATGCAATCACAAAAGACTTCCCCTGCACATGAATCCACTTTTATTGCTAATAATAAAGTAATGATTGATTAAGATGCCTACACCTTTTGTTGAATCAATCAACTTTTTATTTTTGTGAGGGGAAATCAAATGAGTGTTTGACTCTTGCTGACTAAACCCCCTCCCCGTTCCTTCTCCTGTTCTAAGCCGAGGCCGCGGTGCCTTATAGCGCTAACTACGCAACCACGTCTTTAAAAAAAACAGGATTGAGTCACCATTCTTTTACAAATACTTTCGACGTATAAATGTATATATGTACATCTATGTTTATACAGAACCATACAATTAAAACTCTATTCTTTTCCAGGTTGGGGAGCACCCTGCCCTTGTTGCCCCAAGGAAGAGGCTCGCTCATCCAGCGTGGCCGAACTCCGGCGCAAGGCCCACGAACATTCCGCTGCACTATTACACCAGCTCGCAAGCTTCCAGTCGAGGGCATTACTGCCATTGCCCCTTCCACTTCCCCTGCCACCATTGCCATTATTGCCACACGATGCCCCACCTACTTCTCAAGCTCATGAACCACCTAAACACCTCGAGTAAGGAGATGAAGACAGAATAGAAATTCAGTATTTATACTACCTATGAAATTGTTGTTTTTCGTGACAAACGTTACATGTATTTACAGTAATAACTTAAAGATCTTTATAGAAACAATGTAATCCACCAAAACCTAAGCGAACGCCGGCAATCGCCTACATATTGTGTGTCGTATTAAGTTCTTTTAAGTAAAAATTCAATTCAAACAGGCTACAAATAAACTGCAATTTCATATGCTCAATAAAGGCACTAATTCAAAGTCAAAGTCAAAGTCAAAATCATTTATTTCAATTAGACCCTTACAGGCACTTTTGAACGTCAAACAAAATTTTAAAGATATAAAGTGTCAGTCTGTCGGTCAGTCCTCTTAGTGAAGCTATTCTGTACAATGTTTTCGAAAGAAAATATGTGTGTGTGCGAAAGATCTAACGCCTTTGCCGTAACCACGAGTGCGTCAGAGCTTTGTTTGGAAAATACTTCGAAATAAAATTGCGTCTTTGCTCACTGCACATTATTTTGATTTAAAATCGTCTCTCTGTTGTTCTACAAGTTTCAAGTAGTGTGGTAGGTATACTTCCTGATGTTTTTTTTACAAATTTTATTTTATTGTGCCATTGTGAATTCATGTGCCATGATTTAGTACTAGTAGCTGCAAACGACAGTATTATTAAAATTATAAATAAGATTCTTCATTATGTGCCAACATTTCGCGCCAATTTTAGTATACTCATGTATATATTTTTTGTTATTTTTTTTTAATATTTTATCTTCTAAACGTCTTGTCCATAGATAAGAATAAATAGAAGCAAATATTTTATTATTTAAAAAAAAATATTTTATACATCATAATTAATTTTAATTTATAGATATATAATTTTTAATTTTACATCGCCGCTACAGTATTTGTCAGACCAACTGTTGTGAATATGTCATTTTATTTTATTTTAATGTTAAGAAAATTGTAAATAAATATGTAGCTATTAAACTTGGATGTTTGTACGTAGTTCACAGATTGTATATAGCTAACACAGTTTACTTAGTTTAGTTAAGTATTTGTTAAGGAACACAGAAATATGGAAACTATTTGTTAAACTAATAAGCTATTTCTTGCTTAGATATTTACTTACATACCTGTAAAATATACAATTATACACATTATCTAATAAGAATATTTTTCTTTTGCAGTGTTTTATTATCAATAGTAGTACTTTGTTGAGTAGGTATGTACGGTATTTATGAAAAATAATATTTGGATTTACATAATACATATATAATTTCTTGCGTTTTCGCTTTCTCAATTAAGAAGAATCAAATGTGTTAAATTATTAACTAAAAGTAATAAGTTCTGTCTATGTCATAAAAAACTGTATTTTTATTTGCAAACCACACAGGTTTATCCCATGTTTTTACTTCAAAGCCTTTATTGTATTTAAAAACACATTTGATTAAAAATCTTTGAAGAAAATTGTCACAGATATAATTATTAAGTATGTATTAGCATTATGTTTTAAAACTTAAAACACGTTTCCATAAAACATTCCTATTTATATAGTAAACACATTCCATGAATTTCCATGTTCTTGTCTCTCCCATATTACACATAATAATGATATAAATATTTACATAATGGTCCGCGCCATGCTTGTATATAAACACATACATTGCCGAGGATGTGAGCTGCAGTATGCACGAGATGTGGAATTGTCGGCGCGGGCTGTGCATACGTTATAAATATATACCACTAGAAATGTACCATTAGTTGTTTTAATTATTGCAAAATATAATATTATGTAATTATATTTTTTGTGGTTTTATTTCGTACCAATGTTTTGTAATCCTGTCTGTAACAATTAACACCCCTTTTTTACAGTACTTACCTAAATAATTTGAATAGCCATCTTCAATGTCAAAAGAACCTTTACCAACCTTTAACCTTCCTTGAGAGATCCCTCAAGATATTTTAACTGATAGAGGGCCAGGGTGGTTATAAACTTGGCTGAAGTGAGTGTTAAAAGATAGGAATTCTTTGCAATATTTCAAAATCTAGAGGTTCTACCTTTATATGGTATAGACAAATTACCAGATGGTAAGCGATCAGCGCCACCCAAGGATATCCACACCAGTAGAGGAACCACGAGTCACCAAGTTTTAAGGATTAAAGGAACAACACAAAGTATGCCTACTATGTAATATGATGTAAGAAGAGTATGATTCCATTCTAGTCGAGCTGGTGTATTCGTTTTGAAACATGGTTCTCTCACACTTAAAACGAGAAAAAAAGACAAAATTGTCATATCCCCTAGAGAAAAAGCCCTTTTTTTAACCTGTGGAAATCCTCATGGATACCCTTTGTCTAGACAAGAGCGTCAGACAGAAGGTTATGTCGGACTCTTACCGACTAAAACCACACACTCAATCCCAGAAAACAATGAGAGGGTCACTGGGCACTCGAATGAACGAACTCATCTGCAAAGAGATAAAGCCCTAGGAAAGACGCAATAGCCTTTAAAATTGTCCTGGAAGCACAAGATGTTATAAAAATATGACGTTTCGATTCGTGCGAGGAGGAATCTACGATTCCATAACACCAAACGTATGGTGAAGTATTCAGTCACTTTTTTTGGGTTCTTGTACCTAAAGTCTTAAAACGGGAATCGTATTACTAACTACCCGCTGTCTGTACGTTTGCCTGTCTATTACAAGGCCGTATCCCATGAACTGTGATAGCTAGACAGTTTGTATTTGGGCAGCTGATGTAATTCTGTTACCGCTATAACAACCAATAAACTTAGGGCTGATTTTTCAATGGTTAGGTAAAAGTTATGTGGGGAATAATTATGATGGTGTAGCGTCAAAATGTTTGTATAATACAGTGACAGCAACAATTTTATTCCTCAGATAACATTTATCTGTTTATTGAAAAATCAGCCCTTAATAAAATAGAATATACTGCCCATACAACAACGTTAAGGCGTAGGTTAAGGCATCTGCCTCGCATCCGTGCGGGTTCGAAACCTGGCAAGTACCAATGTGATTCATGCTTATTCAGACACCATTGACATACGGTAAATAAAAGAAAACATCGCGTGGACATCCAGGTCCACGGTAATAGGTAATTTCTAATTATTACTACAAGTTTGAAACACCAATCCGCCTTGAGCAAGCGTGGTGATTAATGCTCGAACTTTCTCCGTGTGAGAGAATGGCCTTGGTCCAGCAGTGGGCACTTATAGGCTGATGATACGATGTGATGTGATGAACAAAATGTGATTTTTGTACGGAACCATTCGTGCGCAAGACAGACTCGCTTTTGGCCAGGTTTTGTAGCAAATTATCAACTATAATATAGTTATAACAATTATATGTTATATTATAACAATTTCACCCAAAGAAGTGACGAGGTTTAGTTGGATACTCTATACGCATGATTAATTTGTTGGACTAAGATGCTAAAGACATTCTAGTGACAATAAAAAGAAAGATTTAATTTTTAATGATTTATTTCAATAAACAATACACTTAAAACTAGATTAAATACAAAAATACATTATTTACACGAATTTAAATCTACTTAGAAAAGGTTTTAGGTTGAAAATCGAGACTTACAATCTCGAACTAAGCTGAGAAAAACATTATTATTTCCAGTTACTTGTTAATTCTAAAATGACAAACATTAAAAATATTGTTTTCACAAGCTTTTATTTTTTTACTTTCCATGTTTTTTTATGTGATGCGATGGCAAGCGAGCATACGGATTATGTGTTCAGATTGGCTTGCGGGAGCGAGAAAAGGAACGGGCTAGTTTTCAGTCAGTGAGAGAAACTCAGGTTAATTGAGAAATCATTCGATGACTATCCTTAAGACAAAATACAAAAGGCTACAAACATTTTTAGCCATCCCAGTATAATAAATACACTTACACCCGGTTTCCGAAAGGCCGGTCAATGTTAAAATCAATTTAATCTCTTGTCAAGTCATCTGATTGGTTGACTGAATTATATTATCAACAACCAATCAGATGACTTGACAAGAGATTTAACAGGAGTTTAGTTAATTTTAGTGTTGACAAGCCTTTCAGAAACCGGGTGTTAATAGAATACATTAACAAAATCTTAGCATTACTCGTGCAAAGAAACAATTATCATAATGCTTCAAGAAACAAAATTCAAGCGATTACTTATCACCAAACTCAAAACTTCTTACCAACATGCTCATTAATTAGAAAACGGGTATTCACAACGACGTACTCAGTTACAATCATTTTGATTGCTTCCTTATCAAAATGGCTGAAACTTTTATACTTAATCACCACATTTGACAAGGTAGAGAAATAACAAGAATCATATATTTTGTTCACGAAGTATTTATGACAAAAGTTTTTAATAAACGAGTCTTTATAGCTTAGAAGAGTTTATGTACATCTGTTGAGTGTTAAAATTTATGTTCCGTTGTTAATTTCCAAGTTTTGTCATTATTAAAGATGTATTTGTATTGTTGTTGCGTTTTGAACGAGTACATTAATTACTTTACATGGATTGTTTGTTTTTGTGCGTTATAGGAATAATAATAATAATCTTTAATACATACGACATTGGTTATAAAATTGTCTGAAGTTTCGGACTCTTGTGAAATAGACTGGTGTTATGAAAAGTTCGAATATTTGAACGAACGTAGGTACAGTAGTTTTGTGAGCTGTATATCGTTAGTCAAAGAAAAAAAATCATATTTCCACACAAATATCTTGCACCTACTAGTGTGATATTTTGCGTGATTCTGTAAATCAGAGACGCAATTTAATTGACCTAAAATTTATCATTCACTCGACCAAAATCTTTCCTTCTTCTTTCTTGATCAAAAAGTATTAATATAACCTTCTTTGAGAGAAACTTTACGTTCACTTATAAAAAATACTACAATAGGTCTCGAACACGAACGTTTCTTCTGACGGCGTTATTAAATCCTTCTTGGTAGTGGTAGAACACGCTGCTTGATGATATCACGTCGGCCACTGGATCTGCACAATACATGTAATGTTATTAAAATAATACAAAGAGATTCAGTAAGACTCGGTTAGCTTCTGGTGCTGAAGAAATACGAAACCACGGTTGGCGTGGTGGCTGGGCAATTGGCTGCAGCACAACGTGTCCAGGGTTTACTTCTGCACGTAACAAGTCTTTGCGTGATCTACAAATTGTTTTTTCGGGTCTAGGTGTCATGTGAATATGAAGTTGCATGTCATCTTTATTCAGAACTCCCCGGCCCGCCCCTCTTACGCATGGTTGTTCAACTACCTTCGTGTTCGCCTCAAAGACTCAAAGAGCCAATAGACCATCACAGACCTATAGGGGTGATGTTCAGTCGGGATTGCGGGGTAAGCGCAATGAGGCTCCGCGACGTCGCCCCAGAGCAGGAATAGGAACGGGAGGTTTTTAGTCAGTAAGAGTCTGACACTCCCTCCCCCTACCCCGGGAGGAAGAAATCATTTGATGATTTTACTCTCACAAAAAAAAATCGTGACAGTTATTTGTTTTATTAGCGAACCGCCACAGCGCTGAAAGGGTTGCATATTTGTATTTTTTATTTACCTACCTAGACTTTTTTTAAATATTCGTTTGTAAGAACCTTCTCCTGATCTTAACAACAACTTGCGTGTCGTCGTTTATGCGTTATGTTATAACCAATGGACATTGGGTATTGATATTGATCTTTTAAATTCATTTTTATATACATATGTGTAATCATTACTACATAGTATATAACAAAGTCGCTTTCTCTGTCCCTATATCCCTTTATAAATACGTAACAGATTTTGATTCGGTTTTTTAATAGATAGTGATTAAAGGACGGATGTATGTATAGATATGTATAGTAAAATTCACTAAATAGTGGAGAAATTTGGAACCAGCATTGCATCCGTACTCGCTCGCTAGTATACAATAAAATGATTTGAACGAACCTATATTCCTATATTTTTAATTTAAACAAATCTTGACCAGGCGTTAAAAAGAAGTTATATAAATGTAGATACTGGTCGACTTAAGAACATATGAACATTTGTGTTCAGGTGGCGTTTTGTTAAAGAGGAAAATCATCAAATCACTGCTTCCAATAATATACCGTAGCTCGGCTTATGGCAAAAGGAACAGAATAGTTTTTGGTCAGTAAGAGTCTGTCACTCTCTCTCAACCAACCCTTTGCGTGGGAAATCTTTGGATGGATATCTTCCTTCAAGAAAAACTAAAGACTACACGTCAATTGCTTTTCCAGTGCAGATTCAGACAGAGATAGCTATTAAAGCGTATGCCATATAACATATACATAAACATATTATGTAGGTACGTAGCGGGGCGGCGTTCAGACACAATGGTATTTACCGCTGTTAATTACTGCGACGAGACGCCTCCCTCGCGCGACCTATTATCTACCTAAATTACAAACACTTGTTTTGTATTCGGTACTTATTTGCTTAGTATATATGTAATAATATGTCGAAGGAGATATGTAGAATTCTAGAGCTTTCTTGGTGAATTGTAATGTCATTGTTTCTTAAAGGTTTTCTTAGGTTATAAGCAAATTGAGTTATTTTTTTTAATGTAATAGGTCGGCAAACGAGCAGACGGATTATCTGATGGTTACCATCAGCGCCGCCCATGGACACCCGCAACGGAGGAGTTACGAGTGTATTGCCGACCTTTTAGGGATAAGGGATTTGGATATTTAGGGATTGAGGAGGGATTGGGGGAGGGAAAGGATTGGGCCTCCGGTAACCTCACTCACACCGCGAAACACAACGCTGTGGTTGTTCACGCCGGTTTTCTGTGAGGCCGTGGTAACACTCCGGTCTAGCCGACCCATTCGTGCCGTAGCATGGCTCTCCCATATTTAAAAGGCTCTCACAAGTAGTTTACTTATACTTAAGTTTACTTATATAACTTATATTAGTTTGTAAAAGCCATGCTCGGCACGAATGGGTCGGCTAGATTGGTGTGATACCAAGGTCTCACAAAAAATTGGCGTCAATGAACTGTCTATCCCAAATGCCCAGTCTAAGAGTCCTAGGCCCCAAAAGGCCGGCAGGCAACACATTGCCAACTCCTTGGACGACGAAGAACGCTTACCATCAGGTGATTTGTAAGCTCGTTAGCCGCGTTAGTCAGTAGAAAATGTATTTTTAAAATATTAGCAAGGTGTAGTTACTTTTTGTCGTAACCGTGGCCCTGGCTCGAAGCTGAAGAAGGAAACGTTGATTTTATTGTCAGTAAGAGAGTTTTACTCTCTTTCGCCCCAGCCGGGCAGGAGAAATCATTTGATAATTTTCCTCTCTCAAAACAGCCTATTTTATGATACCAGTAATTGGCAGACATTTGACCGCTATCACGCCTGGTGCGATGCGACCCACGATGGAGCACGTCTACCCATAAGAAATCTACTCACTTGGGTCTTGAAGAAACCCATTCGGGGAACACTGACTCCGCAAAGAATCCCACTCCTTGGCAGTTCGTATTATAAAACTGGAGGCGAACTGCTTAGTGCGTGTAGGCGGGATACCCGCCATAAAGCGATGACGCTTTGAGTATTATCTACTGGTACGATGGTGGAAAGGACAAGAAGGAATCAAGTTGTATAACTCCCTGAATATTCTCAGAAATGTATCCGACAAAAAAACGAAAAGCTCGTAACTTTGCACTTGTGTTCGAGGCTTTGAAGTCGGTTTAAATAGCACCTCGTCGTTGATGAGCTTCTTGGCATGGCTCTCAATATAGTTGGTGTTAATTTATTTTGTTATTTATTTATGCACCAAAACTTTATGCACAAAGTACATAGTTATATACATGGTTATCTTGTAACAATATTTGTTACTAAATAAAAGCAAAAAAATAACTCAAACGAAAACAATTGAAACATAGCGAAACAAAACAAATTACATCGAATCGCAGTAACTGATAACTAACAGTTAACAACAGTTAATGGTTAGCAGACGTTGTTATAATAACAATATTGTGTAAGTTGGTACGAAATCAAACAGCCAAGTCGATTTCACGGCTCGCCGACACACACCGGCCAATTAGTTTAAACAGGGTCTCATTATAACTTTGTATTGTACAGACAGTAACAATCGCGCTTAGATAATTATTTAACTACAATTTGATGGACTTATTTATCGAATAAGTAGGATATTTATAGTCAGGTAATAAGTAATTTTTTTTTTGAGTTCTCCTTCCCTGGTGGGTCGAAAGGGAGTGTCACACTCTTACTGACTAAAAACCACTTCGCTCCTTACATTGTAAGTTTAATTTAAGACACTGAGTTAATTATCAACATCATTAGGGGTAATATATCTAATAAAATTGTAATAAGAATAATCATTTAAGTTACGTAACGTACTTTACTGATTTAGAATTGTTTTTTGCTGTCGAAAATAGTACTGCAGGTTTTATTCCAAAACATACAATTCTTAATGCCACTATTACTTATCAGATCCAAGCGAACAAACACCTACTTGGATTAAAATAACACTTAACTGTTAACTTTAAAACCATAAATCGTAGCAAGTTGTAGCCCGTAGCAGATCTCGTAGCACTTGCTACGGATGCACGTAGACTCGTAGCGCTTACAATGAATTAAATACGAAGTTAGCTTTAAGTTATTTTCCTTCGCTTTGCTTTGAAGAACAATAAAACTATTGAGTTGTTTATTTTCTGGTTTTAATAGGGCTTTGCAAGATGCTGGGAACAAACCTTACTTAATTTGATTCTAAAACTTTAATTAATAAATATATGTGTGTGTGTGTGTGTGTGTGAAAAATAGTCCGTAAGTAGCTGTTTAAATTTGGTTAAAATATAACCACATTAAATTTAGTTAGTTTGTAGATACTTACTTTTGTAGATATTAAAATAATTATTTGAAAATTAATACAGTAAAGAATTAAACAGTAAATACGCTTGATTATCTTTAATCCGAAGGCTCAAAGTGAATGTACGACTAAGCCGAACTCCCATTTTAATATTAACACAAATTTGAATAATATAAAATCAAATTCACCAACGGTACTCAGATGTAGAAACAATAATATAGCTTTAGGGAGTTCTCTTGTGAATTTCAGCCCAATCCCATTACAAATCGCGTTGAGATTATTAAACAGTCACCTTAACGAGAATTGTGACGGTGGGGGGAGTGAGTGGGAGTAAGGGGGGGAGTTAGATGATACTCCCCCCCTTTAGGATGAATACACAATGTAAGATGTTCGTCTTTTGATTGCGTTTTGTATTAAATAGTGATCGTGTTAAGAGACTGTCTCACTTATTACATTTACCTATTGTGACATCAGATTTAATTGTTTCTTTTTGTATGTTACACGGTGGCAAACGAGTCTGCATACAACCTTATTGTATACAATCGCCACCAATGTAGACTCGCGAGACTCGGGGTTTTAGGGATTTAGGGATTGGGGAGAGAATGGATTAGGCTTCCAGTAACCTGACTCACATGGCGAAACAACGCTGTGGTTGTATCGCACCAGGTATAATTTCGATCGAGTCGGCTCTTACTTTGCTAACCATGGTTCTATCACACTTATTGTACTGTTCATTTATGGGTAAAAATAAGATTGTCTGCAATTTTCTCAGGAAGACTAACAGTTATTGTACTATTAAGGCAATAAGGTCGCTTATTCAGATGGAAAATGAGGATTTTACATTTACTCTGCTTTTGGGCTATTTTAAGCTAACTAAGTCAACAATTTAGTGCAAATTACCGTACCTAGTAAAACAAGAACAGAAAAAAATCACGAATTGCAAAAAAACCCCATTCACTACCGACCTAATCTAAACATCCAAAAAGAATATAACAAAAACCTCATTATACCCAAAGCTTTATTCAACTAAAGCAATTCAAACAATCTATTAAAATTTTCCCATCCGTGACGTAATTACGGCGACTAATATCGCAATGTCAGAACTGAGAACAATGGTCTGACGTTGTTATTACATCTAGCGCGGTTCAGGTGCGGTTACGTTCGAATGTCAGACAAACGAATATTAACAACCCTTTGAAACGAAACGAGGGTTGTAATTGAAAATAATAGAGGTATGTATGATTACGTCGGCATCGTCGTGTTAACTGGGGCCCGTGAGTGCTCCATTCAACTCGGTAATTTGTTATGAGATTGTTCCCACTTTAAGTCTAATTGTTTTGGGTGAAATTTGTTAATATTTTTTTAAACACTCATAATTATTTAATGTCGCGTTTGAGATAAAAACCTACTAGTTCACATACACATCAAACCCAGACCCGTAACAACAATCTGTGGATCAGATAAAGAGTTGTTCCGTGCGGGAATCGAGCCCATAACACGTTGCATAGCAGCTGATTGCCCACTCAACACGCCAAATGTGTTGTACAACAATCTGTATTCATCAGCGAATAGTTGGCGATAAGAAAAGGATTAGGTTAGGTTATCGAAATCGAAAAATATCATCCAGAAGCTACAGTTCGCAAATATAAATATAGTCTCTTTCTTGACCGAAGAGTATAGATAAACTGGTTAGCAACAATATAATGAATAAAGAGATCTTACCATTTCTTTGAACTTGTGATAGAGGGACGATACGGCCGAAGAAGTCTTTATGTACCTGTAACAAATCAAGAAGTTAGTTTGAGTTAAACTGAATCTCTCGCGCGGTTTCACCCGCTACTCGGCTCCATTTTGTCGTAGCGTGATGTTTTATCAGGAACATTGTAGCTATCTATCAGTGAAAGAATTTTGGCAATCCGACCAGCGGTTCCAAAGTTACCCTACATACAAAACTTACAAATTTTACCTCTTTATGTATTTACCTCTTTATATAGATATAGACTAACACTTGTTCCGGCTTCGAACGGGTATAATGCTGATACAAAATTTCTCCCCTATTTAACAGTTGTTGTTATTAATATAAACCTTCTTCTTCAATCATTGTATCTAGTAAAAACCGTATGGAAATAGTTGCGTAGTTAAGATTTAAGCACATACATAGGATGGATATAGGATATAGAGACAGAGAAAGCGATGTTGTTTTATACTAGTAGTGATATAACAAAATAAGACACTTTAATGACTGCATAAAATAAATTAATAAAAAAATAAATATAACAAAATGTAGGAACGCCTGAAATGAAAGGAGCAGAGAGAAAATCATGAGAAATCTCTCTTGGTCCTTCGGTATTTCTATTCAGCATGTTGAAGCCAGGCGCAAGATATCATTCAAGCCTAGCAGCAAGAATGGATTTGGTCTTATAAGGATTCTTTGCTTTTCTACTATTTTCAATAAATAGGACCTCTTTATGTAGTTATTTTTTTGGCTGATCTCTGACCCGCGTGATTATATGTCTTAATTCTGAGAATCGGCCACTATTTTCACTTTTCCACGACAACAACACTATTATAGCATTCGAATCAGCACACTACTAAAATAAACAATTAGAAAGCTAACAAAACAACACTAGGTGCTCATTACGACACAATTGCAGTCACAAGACTAGTCATGTCGTCATCACAGTGCCATCCTCACAAGATTTCCCAGTAGTTAGTGTCAAGGAAAAACAACTGTTGCCACAAAGACAGGTTAATGACACTTAACACACACATGCACGTGTGGCACACACACCTTTGTTTCTCACTAACAGGCGTCATTATCCAGGGTGTTACACTTCACAAGCAATTAAAAAAATAAAACCGCATTTTGTCATACATACAGCGTGCTACGCTTTATATGCTATGCCAAGTTCCAATTAGCGACAAATCTTAAGTGGTTGTAAAGGATTTGCGACTTTATTGTTAGTATGGTAGAAGTTAAAATTGTTGACTTGATTAATTGTTGAACCAGAACTCAAAAAAAAAATTATGGTTTCAAATACACCTCCATTATTGCCAATATATCATGTTATATAGAAACATCATTTAAAGTTGGCAGTTTCGGCAGCGTAATAATTATAAGTAGCATTTATAGTACTTGAAATAATTCTCGTAGCGCTACGACTTCTCGTAGCAATTATTCGTAGCGTGTATTATACTAGTTTGTTATGCCTTTTTGAAGAGGCAAAATTAGCGAAAGACTTCTCTCGCCTTGGATATGGCGAGAGGGAGTGTCAGACTCTTACTGGACTAAAAACAACTCGGTTCTTTTTCCTGCTTTAGGCTGTGGCCGCGGTACTGTATTGCGCTTGATCCGCAGCCCTGATTGTTTGTAATGTCTGAACTTGATTTACTTACGCAGTAATTATTTTTTATACCACGATGATTTAGAAGGAAGTTCACTGTTAATAAACCAGAATTTTACAAATCTTCATACACAAGGATTCTGCAGTTCCTACATAACCTGCATGACGAGTACAAGAAGAGCGATGAGAAATTGAAATTTAATGATATAAACATTTGAATAAGCGTATTCTTCTTTTCCATAAGAAATGCGTATCCCCAACAAAAAAAAAAAAATACATTCTTCACATTTTCATTACGTCTACAAGATCAAAAGTAATTTGTGTGAGGGTCCTCATCACTGGACGGTTACTGCTCTAAGTCAAAGATCAATCGGGACAGCGTAGTATAAATGAAATACAAAAATAAAAACAAATATATTTAGAGCAATAAAGCATGGCGTTACAAAAGGTATCAGCTATCAACGGGCAATAGCAAACCAATTACTAGTTTGTTACGGAGTCATAGTAAAACTATCGACGATACGGCCAGATGCGGCCGCTGGGCCACGGTGCGGTGCAAGTCGTGGGCGATAGCGTGTAATATCTATAGCATACCTAATGTTTGAAATTATTTTGAAGTTTGAGGATAGGAAATGACTTTTTTGGGTCTATTACTTGTTTGAAAAATCTACATATTTATTTTCAGATTTGACCACTAGAGACAAAATTAGCTAAAGTGTAACATTTCTGTCTTTCCAATGGATGTTGCAACGGAATTATGCAAAGAAAATATATTTTTGTAAATAAAAACGTAATATTTATAACTTAAATCTAAGTGAAGGGATGGAAAAATGAATGGCGTTTTAAATTTTGCCAAGGTTTTGTCTATATGTAGGCTTGAGTTCATTTTCCTACTGACAGATAGAACAGGTAAATTTGTTTAATAATATCGCGTCAAAATGATTTTATTGTTATTTAAATTGCGATATTTCATTAAATTCTCTACAGAGGCTCAATTTCATATCCAGTTATTTGTGACCCCGCTATCGCCTACCTCTCAGGTCACACCCTAACTTCGTTCTCGTGCAATATTTCCGATTACGCGGTTGCGGAGCGGCGCGGCGGCGGTAAATCGCGCGGCAACGTCGCATAAACACAATTTCGCACTCATAAAAGTTACCGGCGGGTGACACCTTCTAGAGGTGGCGTTACACAGATGTGCCGATATTGTCAATTACCGTACAACGGGGAGGCGGATTCTTTTGATTACTTGACATCGTTTTGATGGGTTGCGGATTTTGTTGTGATATGGCTTTTTGAAGGGGAAAATGTTTTGAGATTTTGCAAGCAGTGTCCTTTTATACTCAGCAAAAATATTATTTATTTTATAAGTACCATATCTGTTACTTCCACCACATAACCAACCGTAATAAATAAAACCTAGTACATAGTAACCTCAGAGGAACCCCGACCACAAAACTAATGTCCGCACGAAACAAATTTAAAAATCCATTCTCCTATCAAATATTTATCGCAAACATGCGATATTTCACGTTGTAGATAACATTTTTCCGCTCGGCTGCACCCTGTGGGGCGGTCGGGGGGTGTTGGGGGTGCGGGGGGAGTGAGCCTAGGGTATCAATGCCCCGCCCCGCCGCAAACAATACAATCAGAGCCAATCTGCCGCGCAAATAGGAAAATAGAGTGCGCGCCAACACAGGGACGCCTCAGGCTTGAGCACAGACGTGCACTGGCCCTGCCGACGATGCTGGGTGGAATGATTCAATTCAATCCTGCTAAGGACATGATTGAGGGGTGATTATGACGTTGGGTAATCAAGGTCCAGCCAGGAAGTCTGACGAAAAAGTGTAATGTCTTAATCAACGAATAATTAAGTTTCCTTCAGTGTCTATTTATTTAGTTTCTTAAGAAATATTTTAGTTTATTTTATTAATTTATTTAAATAAATAATTAAATAAGTAACACCATCAGCTTTTTAAAAAGACACATTTATACTAAACCCAATTAAGAAATATTATTCTTCTAACAAAATCGGAAATCGGTTTAAAATCAGCTGCTATTACAATCAGAAAGAAATTTATGTCTAACATCATACGCCTTCAAGCATTTTTTTTTCATATTCCGAAAGGTCTGTACTGGGTTGATAAAAGCCTTATTTCCAATAGACATATGTGGTATAGTTTTTTCTAGGAACCAGGAGATATTTGATTGTAATTTACAATAAAAATTTGGTTTCAAACAGTAAAGAATATTATAGTATGTCAGTTAGTCCATCGTGTAGACATCACATTGATCAATTTAAAAAAATATCGCTCCTCCAGCTACGTCCCTGCACATTTCTTTAAGCATCGCTCTCGTCGTTCCCACTCGAATCCCGTTCACAATCCGCGCAATTTTCCGCCGGTCATTTCTCATTGTTTCTTGTCCTTTCACCCCTCCCCGATACTTATTTGTTCTGTATCGTAAATAGAGCGCGGATAACTGAGAGTTTGTGTATACGACCCACTGCGATATAAGATAGAAAAGAGTTTGGGCGGCTTTATTCCGTGATTGCCTGTTACGACTCGACGATATTTCGTTTACTTTTATGGGATTTTCGTAAAGAATTTTATGTAGACATAGTGAGTATGATTGCTGAGCAGAAGGATACTTAGGTCAGTCTTTGATTAGGATAAAAAATCTCATTTAGAAATATACTAGCTTCCGTTCGAGTCTTCGGCGCGTGGTACCTATATTGATAAAAATGTGTTAACCCGTGGTATCAACTAATCCGCATTCGAATTTCAACCAAATCAATCCACCCATTTTACGTGAAAAAATATCAGATATTATAAAGAAGTAAAATTTGTAAGTTTGTATGTAGGGGGTAATCTTTGGAACCGCTGGGCGGATTTCCAAAATTCTTTCACTGATAGATAGCTACAATGTTCCTGAGTGCTATAGGCTATTTTAAAACATCACGATACGATTAAATAGAGCCGAGCAGCCGGTGAAACCTCGCGGGAGTAGCTGGTTTATAATATTAGTAGGATCGTGCGCGCGTGTCAAACGGTTACTAGCGTCAACCCAATGTCATTTAACAAAAGAATGACTAAATAAATCTAAGAAATTTGTATCTAATAAGAAAACAGTTCCATATATTGAGCAAAGACCGCTTTAACCGCAATTACCGAATGAGACGATTTCCCCATTTATTTAGCTTGAGTACAATGCCTATGTATATTACATAACACACGTGTAATACGCCCACAATATACCAGTTCAATATATCAACTTGGCAGATATACATGTATATACAAATTGGCCATTTATTTCGTAACGCTGGCCATACATCGTGAGCCCATCTTACGCTAACCTATTCGATATTTATTTAATGGTTCACGTGTACATTGAGGTTGGACTTCGTATGCGGTGTAACCACATATTAAATGGC